TAATATAGCCAAAACAACCGCATAGCCGCTCTTTAGTGTAGATGCATGTTGATTTTATCAGACGATGCTGCGATTATAAATGAGAGTGACTCCTGGTTAACATGTATTAAAAGGGGTCGTGTTTAGTCACTATTTAGTGTGGTATTTATATATATATATATGTATATGTGTATATATATATATATATGTGTGTGTATATTTTATAATATTCACTCATCATGATGAAAAATAGGGCATTCTAAGTCAATATACTGCAGTATTTCCTCTCTCAATCAGTAGAAAATATGGTTAACACCCGGTCATGCATGAAAAAAAAAATACCGTCATGTACCGTGAAACCGGTATTATTTAGAAATAAATAATAGATAGAAAATTTACCGTGATAGAAATTTTTGGTCATACCGCCCAGCATTATCCAGCTCCAGCTGCAAAGTCACACAAATGTGTGTCATAAAGAGCAACAAATACGTTTCACATGTTTCATCCAACTCTGTGGGGTTTTTTTTTGTTGTTTTTTTTTAAGAACAAACCGTATGAAACATTCTTATGTACTGATGGGCATATTATGTTATAAGTTCGGGGGTTTTTTATTTAGGGATGTACTATTTTGCACTAATGTTACAGTGACGGCTGTTTCGAGCTGTAAAACTCTGAGGGACCAAAGCAGGTGGGAGAGGAACAGGTGATCTCGTTGCTGATACCCAACACTCTACAACCCCCACCAATACTATTACTACCACTCCTCTCTGGTTTTATCCTTTACTCTCTTTACTTTTCCCTTCCATGACCCCTCACTGTAATGTTATGTAAAAGATGAATTCTTGCCGGTTTAGTCTTTCTTCTGTTCTGTTTATATATGCCTTCTGCATTTTTTTGCTGTTAACATTATCACATGTGTTCTTCCAAATCTCTATTAATGCGTAATCCCAACCAGAAGTGTCAGCAATTTCCTCTTCATGAAAACCTGGTCTGGGATTTGAGGTGCCCTTGAGAAGTTTCCAAAGTCTTGGTTTTGTAACCAGGTTATGAGTGGATGAAATCTTTATAATGTTTCCAATACTTTGGACATCAAGTAGTATCATAGGGCAAAGTGTGCCTCAGTATTTAGATTAGAAATCAGAGCAACCGATATGTGTCAATTCCTAAGGTAATATTTTCAGTCCCGTCTTAAATATGTATTTTCAGTCTTGTTGTCAAGTGTTTTTTCCAAATGAATAAATGGACGTTTTATAAAACCTATTCATAATTCTGAAATCTGAAAATATTTTTTTGTTTTGTTTGTTAATTAACTTCAAGGTTTCTGTAAGGTTCCCCACATGAGGGGCAATGAATGGAGGACGCACATGGCCAGAAGTCTCCATCATAGATTAGTTATTTGCCACTCATCCAGTTAGGTCCTGCACGTCTGTAGTGTCACATTCCCAAAATTGCCACCCTAACGTAAGACTCTGTGCCTCTCCTAGGCATAACCGTCAGCAGACATAGGAATATGTGACTTCAGTCTAGTATGTTGGAATGGATTCAATACAGGACAGTCTATATTAAAAGACTGCCCAGTTGCTTTCAGGCTCTTTTGCTGACTAGTTTTCAGTACATTGCCTTATAGACATTCAGAAAGAAATACTGTAGAAACCTCTCTCATCTGGATAATGTGGATTTGGCAACCGTGATTCAGATTCATGCATTAGATGGTTGTATGTGAATCCATGTGTCTTGTGACTCTATAAACAGGTTGGCATATGCACTTGTGCTAGTTTTTCTGAGACCAGCCTGTCTCTTTCAGGCAGGTTACATACAGGCACTCATTCTGTCTAATTTTCTCTCTTTCCCTCTCGTCTCAGTCTCTCCGTCCCATATTAGGCGTTGTCTGTATGTAGCTGAGCTATGATTGGGGTGGCGACTGGAGTAATCGTTTTATGGCAGCTCTGATAGATTTGTGGAGGAAGGAGGAGTGATGGATGAGGAACAGATTTTGAGGAGGGGACTCTGGGTGCCTCCCCCCGACTGCCCAATTATGTCTCACATTCACAAGCTAGCAAATGCTACACCTGTGACGTGCTTGTTTCCACGTTTGTGGCACATATATACACGTTGCTTTGTCTGTTTAATAAATTTAATGAATAAAAGCACATGCTTTTGTATCACCTTTGCGTTTCACAAAGATTTTGTTAGCAATGTAGCTCCCTCTTCAACAGATGCTAACTTGGTTCCGTATAAAACACTTATGCTGAACATATTTTCTCTTCTTTTTTAGGGTTTCATCAAGGATGTACACGAAGACTCCCTCACAATAGTCTTTGAAAACAAGTAAGTTGGCCGAACGTTTCCTGTACAGACTCTTTCCCAAAGCCTCTGCCTGTTTCACAAGGTTTTGCTTGTGATGAGTGTTCACACTTTGCCACCTACACAAACAACAAAAATATAAGGTTAGCCAAGAAGAGAAGTTAACAGTTTTACCCTGTTAAAATGCAGTATATGTATCTCTAGGGTCTTTAACAGGGTGTTTTACCAATGGTACTGCAGTCGGTCCATCAGTTATGTTGATGTTATATAAATTCATAAATTAAATAAGAATAAAATCAAATAATATATGTATGTATGTATGTATACACACACACTCACACACACTATGTATGTATGTATGTATGTTTATATATACAAGGGCTGTCCGGAAAGTATCCAGCCATGTAATATGAAAACTAGAGACATTTATTGAAGATGATACAAGAAACATTGTACATAGGACTATGACGCCTCAGTGCCCTTCAAAGGTGATTTTAGTTTTGGGTGCCAAATCTGGGCTGTAGGGGGTCACCTGGGTGATTTGATGTTTCAGCAAAAAGCTCTGCACAAGACGTGATGCATGGGCGGGCACATTGTTGTGATGAAGCTGACAATCGTCAGTTGCACATAGCTGCGTTTTCGTTGTATTGCATCTCTCATCTCGTATTTTTCATATTACATGGCTTGTCCGGATTCTTTCCAGTCAGCTCTCATATAATATAAAAAATATATATTTAATTATTTTACATATAAAGCACACACACTATGTTCAATAGTTTGGGTTCAGTAAGATTTTAAAACGCTTTTATTCAGCAAGGTTGTTTTAAGTGGATCAAAAGTCAGAGTAAAACATTTATTCTGTTACTAAAGATTTCTAAAACAAATAAATGCTGATGGGTCATAGTACACTAAAGATTGGAGTAATGACTGCTGAGAATTCAGCTTTGCCATCTCAGAAATTAATGACATTTTAAAATACATTAATAGAAAGCATTTGTTTAATTGTAGTAATATTTCATAATATTACTGTTTTTACTTTATTTTGATCAAATAAATACAGCCTTGGTGAGTATAAAAGGTATTTTCAGAAACATTTAAAAAAATCTTACTGACCCAAAACTTTTGAACAGTATATATTTTGTATAAATAAAGAAAGGATGTAATCATTATTTTATTAAATACATAATAATATGAACATGTACAAGTAGATCGATCTGTACATGTCTGTATTTTTACTATACAGATATTATAGGTCACTCTTAAAATGCAGCACTTTAAAAAAAAAAAGTTTTTTGTCTATGGTGATATGATCTGATTGTGCTCATCTCCCAATCAGCTTCTTTTCTTTGGAGCTTAACTGATAGATCATTTCCACTTTTCCTTTAGCCATGTGCTCCAGCCTGTCGCTCTCAGCACCTGTGCTAACTCGCTCGTTCCAAGTTATCCTGTCCCGCTCCTTCCCACTTTTTTCCCCCATGTCTCCCTACTCCTCCCATCTTTATCTCAGTCTTTTTTTTCCTTCTCTCACTCCCTGTTTCGGCCTGAGTGAGATCCATAAATAGATGAGGTATGCAGGCAGGGGAGCACGGGACAGTGGCCCTGCCATTCTTGGGATGGTCCTGCTGACCTATGGACAAGCAGGAGCACCAACATCTCTCTGACACCATCTGCTTACGATTTTGTTTGATTTGTGTAAAATAGTGAGTGAAGATTGTCACAGTGTGTGAGAGATTTCAAGAAAAGTCTGAGGTTTATAGCTGAATCAGTAAACAGCTAGTGTTTTGGACCTATTTGGAGTGAATTATTCAAAGTTGTGATTTTTACAAGTGTTTCTGAGAGCATATGATTTGCTCATTTCAGTAGATCCACAGTGACCCCTCATATCTCAGTGTTAACACCTCTCCTCTTTACTAAATTGTAAATATATTCCATTAAACGAATAATAATAATTTTCTTTTCTGTAACGACTTTAAAGGAGTTTCTCAAATCGCTTTACAATGTAAGAGTAGTATACATATAAAATTAAGACAGGAATACAGAATAAACAAAAGAGCACAGGAACATAAAAAAAACAAGAAGCAGCAATGATAATCACAATCAACAATAACTGTGTTGATCATCTCGGCATTGGGTTTGTTAGGCCAGTTTTTGGAGGTGGGGTGTCGTTATACCTGTTCTGTCGTTAGAAAACTTACTGACAACTGTGTCTATGTGTGTGGCTTCTTTCCACTAGCTGGCAACCAGAGAGACAACTGCCGTTCAGTGACGCGAGGTTGCCACCCCCAACCGATTACCACAAGGACATTTGTGAGGGAGATGAGGTGGAGGTAGGGATATATTCACTCTGAAACACCCGGAACACTCCTCAAATCATCACCCTGAAAAAAGGCCCCCCACATATGAATCATCACTGGAGAAATAGCCCTTTGAAACGCTCTGCTTTCAAAACATATATCAGACTCTCATCTTACATCACTTTCCTTAGCCCTAAACATGGGTCAGTCTTTAAAGACAACATGAAAAGTCTTTACAGCACATTTAACTTTGGTAATGTGGTATGTTTTAGAGAGAAATCTAAAATATCCATGAGATTTGATTAGATCTTGAAATATAGACAATGGTGTTATTTTCTCACTGCCCATGCAGCCATTGTTATGTAAGCAGAAAAGTCAATTCAGAGACAGAAGTTCATATATTTTGATGAAAGCCAACATTTCTTTTCTTCAGAATTATGTGTACTAAAGAGTCAGTTTGATCATGTCGGAAGATACCTGTTCATACACAATATCTTGCCAATACCTGTATAACTTAAATTGCACAATTAGTAATGGAACAATTAATCTTTTGATATTTGTCCATTTTAGAGGCAAATGCAGTATGTCTGTTAATGGCTGATATTAGTGATTGTGATGCCTAAATTAATTTGCAGAATTAATTTCCAGTGCGTTTTGAGTTTTGGATAAAGCAATATAGAATTTCACTATCTACCGTTTTTGTTATTAGTCATAACATGAAAGTACTTATCAAAATATTAGTATCAGCCAGTATTTTAATGCTTGTGCAACAGCATTGTCAGTGAATAATGCTTTATTGATGCATGTTTTGATTTCAAGTACTCTTCAATGAATTGACTAAATATTGTGAGAAAGTGTTCTTTAAATTACAAGAAATGTGTGGAGCAAGTCTTATTTGCTATCATTAAATCATATATATCATGCATCCTACTCTCTAGGTATTGGCATTTTCAAGTCGACCACTAGATACAAACATACCTGGTAGGGGTGGGAATCGCAGGGTACCTCATGATACGATACGAATCACGATACATGGCTCACGATACGATAATATCGCAATTCTGCGATAATCGATATATTGCTAGACAATTCTATAATGATACATCACGATATCTGTCTAACTATGAAAACAAAATGCCTGTGAAAAGGTTAAGTGCAAGTTTTCTCTCTTTATTCAAGTCCAAACTGTTAGAAAGCAGCACAAAAGTTCTGTAAATCAAATTTAACATGCTAAGGAAATTAATCATTTTATTCTTGGACTTACTAAAAGCTTACACTTTTCTTTGTGTGTAAACCAACACATTTAACTGCTTATCAACTTTATATATAGCCTATATATAAACCTGGTACATTTCAAAATTTACCTGGAGTGCTTTCTCAACCTTTCCTCTCCTCTCATCATAAAAACGGAGCCCCGCGCACATGACATGCAGGGGGGAAAAAGCCATTCACATCACGTCTTTTGTGCGCTCAGGTTCATTATTTCAAATGTAGACGCGCAGCAAGTAAACACACTGCACACTTCTGCGTCGCATTACGGCTCTGACGAGGTTTTGTTTCGTCATCCGTGCCATAGGTGCAGATGTTTCTACCGGTCGGTGCCCTAACGCGCACTTATAATATCTGAGAGAGAGGAAGAGAATCCAGTTTTGTTGACAAAACTGGATGCGCCGGCGCCACTCTCTCTCACTCATATAGTGAGGGAATTTCACCTGCGATCTGAGCGGAGAGGTTAGGCTACTCACGGACTCAATATGCGCTCTGCAATAATAACGTGATCGATGCCTACAGACCCGCTGATAGCTGTTCCGGGGCAGTTTTTTTATCTCATCTCCTTTTATCTCCATAAACATATAAAGAGTAGTAGAGCTAATACAGTGGCCGGAAATCTGTTTATCCTTCGGTTCCTCGTGCTTCCCCATCTTCATAGAGAACGCAGTTCATGATTGTTCAGAGTGCTTTGGAAAGAAGGTGGAAATGGCGCGGCCGCGATTTCCACGCATTTTTTAGATGCTGGGAGCAGGGAAATCTATATAGTGCGCCTTATTGTAGTAATATATTGTAGTAAATTGTAGTATTGTATTGTAGTCAAATATCGGTATTTGGCGCCAGATATCGATTCTCGTATCGCATGAAGGACAACGATATATCGCCATATCGATATATTGTCCCACCCCTAATACCTGGCACATTCTGCATTGTCTTTTGTTAATTTTTTTCTCTCCATACTGTAGCACACTCCTTTTATGGTACAAAGAAGGGTACTAATTCGTTTCTTGCTTTCTGTTAAACACATAGCCTGGCCATTTCTTTCAGTGCTTCCCAAAATGCAATCACCTGAGTCGACCTGGTCTTTCTCCTGCAGGTTTACTCCAGAGCCAACGAGCAGGAGCCCTGCGGCTGGTGGTTGGCGAGGGTGAGGATGATGAAGGGAGAGGTAAGTCAGGTCCAGGTGTGCAAGCGAGCACATGTTTGATCAGATGTGGGTTACGGGGTCTGCATTTCAAGGGTTCTGTCTCTCATTATTCACTCTGTTGGCCTCTGAAGTTGAGTCCAATGTGAATATATGAATATTGATTGAGGGTGTTTCAGGTCTTTTTGGGTCTAGTAGGCCTTTAACACACACATCTGCAGCACTGACCTAGTTACCCATAAACACTAGTGATCTCATTTATTGAGTCAGACTTGAACCCCCTGGTGATCTAATAGCAGATCGCCTTAAGCGCTAGAATATGCATTCAGTATGCATGAGCAAGATAAACAACCGCAAAATGTAGGTCTGTTTAAAGACATCTGGGATCCTCTAAATAGGTCGCGCTTAGGCATCAGGTTTAAGGAATGTTCTGGGTTCATATGCTGTCATTGCCAGAAAAATATTTTGGACTTGTCCCTTTGCATTAGTAGCCATTCCAAAGAGTATGACTGTATATATATATGAATGTTTTTATTGATGTACAGTTTTATTAATCTTTAATATTAATTATTTTTAATTATAAAAACAATCAATTATTATTTAAACTTGTGTATTTTAACATGTATCCTGGTTCAATGTATTGCCCAGTTGATCTAAAGTGAAAGTTAATTCATTTAATTTTATTTAATTTTATTTTTCATTTTATTTTAAACTGAGGGACACATCTAAAATATTTCTTGTAGTAACCATGCCACAGAGCTTTGCTTGAACCTGGCACATTATTGTACGGTTCTAGTAAAATGCTAACATTTACTATATAAATTGCTGCTTATCATTTTTTTGATACACACATAGAAGTTCATTAACACTGCTTAAACTCCTCAAAGCTTATGTCTGCTGTCCACTGTTCCCTGGCAAGGTCTCGTTCAAACCTGCTTCCACACACATTTTGGCTAATTAGGTGGATTGACAGGCAGAGCTCTCATGATGTTACATACAGCACTGGGGAACTGTCTTCTCCCTCTTGCACACTTTCTTTCTGATACTGGGGCAGTCGAATAATAGGACGAATTTAGACTTGACTTTTGACTGCATTCTATGCCACTGAGTGTAGTCGTGCGTTACCGCTGATATGAGATGTGGCTGCTCTGTGTTATTATAGGGTTTGTTTTTAGTCTTCAATCGATTTTCTTAATACTTAATGTTGGCTTAGTGCTTTTCTCTGCAAGATAGCTTCAGTAACTCGTAACAAACTTCAGTAACAAAGCGTGTGCTGTGCTAACGCATCTCATCACATTGATTAGTTACTGGCATTTTGAGCTAGTGGTCTAGCACAACAAAACTGTCTTTGAGCAGCTTCAGTCTGTTTGCTGTGTCTTTAAAGTGGTGAGGGTGTGAAAGAGGCCATTGTGACTTGTGTAATAAACAGTCAGCTGCTCATTACCACAAAATAAACCCAACAAGAGCCAGATTTAAAGCTGACTGTACAATTATCCTGCTTATTACATAGCTACTTTCCAAATTAGCGGACATGAACAATTGGTTTAAGGTTAAATGATTTTATTAAATGGTCAAATACACATCTTAACAGTCATTATACAAAAATATTAGATTCAAGAATGCCGTGTTTGTGTAATCAAAAATATTCCAGAGAGTAATAATCGGTATAATAATCCAATGTAACTACCGAAACTATTAACAGTGTTCAGCATGCAGACATTGGTTTGTTTCATGTGTGTGATGGGCATTGTGATGTATTTGAAATATATTTTTTTCTGTTCAGTTCTATGTGATCGAATACGCAGCCTGTGACGCCACATACAATGAAATTGTCACATCGGAACGAATCCGGCCAGTCAATCCCAACATCCCCTCCTCTGAAAACACCTTTTACAAAGTCCCCATCGCTGTACCCGAGGATCTCAGAGACATGTAAGTCACACATGCAGTCTTCTGATAGTCCACTTTTTAGTCACAGACTGTGTTTCTACCTCGATGTCAACCTCAACAAACTGTGTGTGATAGGGCTGGGCGATAAGCAATATCATATCGAGATTGCAATAAGATTTGTCGATAACTATGATAAGCTCTGGAGATTTTTACCCAATATGGATTAATCACACAGCAGGAATAAACATGACATAAGCCAGTCAGTGCATGTCACTGGTAAGTCTGCATGTTCCGCGTGTCCCTTTGTGAATCAGTGGCATGCTTTCGTCTTCTACACAAACTCAAACACACTGTTTGTGGCTTCTGCCGTCTAAACATCTCCAAAGCGAGTCATTTCACAAGCTTTTCACCATTTCATTTGAGAAAAGCTACAAACTGAAAAACTACTGCGCTGAAAGATCTTCACGACAAACCACCAAAAAATAAAAGTTCAGGTTAACTTGAAATGATGAAATGAAAGAAATACAATTATTGTATGCTAAAATGTACTACTACTAATAATAATGCTCCAACTAATATTTTTAAGAAATACCATACAACCAAGCTATTTTTCATCCATGATTTCATTTCCACGTCTTATTTGACAAAAAAATCCAACTGCAATGTTTTGTTGTAAATTAATTCGTTTTATTTGATTACATTTTAAAAGATTGATTAAACTGTTAAAGTTATATTCATTTCTTTTCAGTTTTTGACGATAAGAGTAAAAAATTTAATGAGAACACTGAATTTAGGGAAAAATAAAATGGATTTCATGGGTCCCTAAATTAAATATATTTTGAAAGATTTAAATGTATTCTTTTCTATTCTGAATGATGCAGCTGTTTGACCGAGAACATCCACAAAGACTTCAGGAAATCAATCGGAGCCAACTGCATCTTCTACAACACCTTTACACACCAACTTATTGTCCTGGTCAGTGTTTAATTCTTATTTACACACTCATTGTGATACTGAAAAATACATTGTGTCTTAACCAAATATGTCTCTTTCTCCTCAGTCCACAAATGAGTGCACGGTGAAACGAGCAGCCCTACTGAGTGACATGCACTTCCGGAGTATTCGCACCAAACTCATGCTTATGTCCCGTAACGAGGAGGCCACTAAACACTTAGAGGTACACAAATACACAATATGGGGATTTTTTTTAAATTTGTTACTCATTTTACTTGCAAAATACATTAGCCAGTCCTAACAGAGAAAGTTGCATGTGAAGATATAATAGCTAGTTTGAGATTATTGCATTGACTGTTAATCATATCCACTTGACCAATTAATAGAAATGGTACTTCAGACTTCTTGTTATACTGTTGTTTGTTAGTGTAATTCTTTTTCTGTGTTTTTCGTTTTGTTTTTTTCTTGTCATTATGTGCTTGTTCTTGTCATGCTGGATTCCCCCTGTGGTTTAATTAAACAGTCAACCAGCTCAACATTTGCGTGTTTTTGTGTGTACTGCAGACGAGTAAACAGCTGGCGTCTGCGTATCAGGAAGAAGTGAAGGTGCGTGAGGAACTAATGGGTCTGGCCATCGGTTCTCACGGTGCCAACATCCAGCAGGCCCGCAAAGTTCCCGGCATCACTGCCATTGAGCTGGAAGAAGAGAGCTGCACATTCAGGATCTATGGAGAGGTATTTATCTTTTCTTTGAGTTCATCTTGTGTGATTTTTATTTTTTATAAAGATACATATAAGACAGCAGTGATTTTGATGGGTTGTTCTTTCTGACTCAAGACCCCAGAGGCTGTGAAGCAGGCCAGGACCTATCTGGAGTTTAAGGAGGATTCCTTCCAGGTTCCAAGGAACCTTGTAGGTCAGTTGCTTATTAGACGCATTTCGTTTGGACTTCTGAATGCAGTTCATTTGTGGACAGACCTTAGCTAAGCATAAATTCTGGAAATCTGCCAAAGCCCAAGTGTTCTTACCCAGTGAATTCGCTCTCTTTCACAACAGGCAAAGTCATTGGCAAAAATGGCAAAATTATCCAAGAAATAGTAGACAAATCGGGCGTGGTTCGAGTCCGGATCGAAGGGGACAATGATAAAAAGCCGCCCAGGGAGGAGGTAGGCAGGCAGGGGGCTGGCAGAGACAACACTGTCAGCAGCCAAGAGGTGAATGAGCCGCCCACCTGATACAACAAACCTCTCACTGTTACAGCTAAATAAAATCTCAGTGAGGAAAACAACACAATATTAGTAACAAGCTGTTTATTTTCATGCAAGTGTACACGCATTTTTAATTAGTTAACATCTGAGATAGCTTCTGACTTTACTGACATCACAAATGTTATCCCTCCTTTTCCTTTGTTATGCAGGGAATGGTTCCCTTTATCTTTGTTGGAACCAAAGAGAACATCAGTAACGCCCAGGCCTTGCTCGAGTACCATGTGGCCTACCTTCAGGTTAGTCACCAGGCATGAAGGGTGTTCAGTCTCTGAACTGATTGCAGTTGCTGAAGGGTGTCTGGAAATTCCCTGTTTGTTCTGTTATTGTTCAAGACTCAAAAGTTTTCAAATGTTGAAACATTATACAAAGATATATTGAATTCATTGTACCATACTAAAGATGAGCTTTTGAAATGAACTGTCTCTTGACTGGTCAGCTGATCTCCTCCTTCATGGGAAGCTGTTGGTCGAACTTAACCAGCAACTAATGCTAAAAATACCCCCATTGGGGGTAGATTTGGTGGGGGAGCGGGCAAAGTGTGGATTACATGCTGTCGACCCAGTCGCCTCTCAAAATAGCCATTTCCCCTGTCCATCCCGGCCCAGCTGTACCACGTTGCCCTCTGTCAGCGTTCAGCTGCTGTTTCAAACCAGCAGCTGTCACACGTTGCAATTGTTTTCCCCCTTTTGCACTTAAAGAAAACCAGTAATTACATTTTTTATAATTCTGATATTTTGTTGTCTTGTATATTATAATATTATATTGATAGATATTAAACATTTATATATTTTTTTTAATTTTCCACAAAAAAATATTATTATATTTTATCTGATCTTTTATTATATATTATTTTATTGCTATATAATATATTTTTCTATTTTCTTATCATATATTGTATGATATATGTATTAATTATATTACATATTGTATCATATTATCTTATGTATTATATTGTCATAGATAATAATAGCATGTTTTTCCCTATTTTGCTATTAAACAAAAAATAGAAATTTATTTATAGAATTATAGAAATGATTACATTATATTACCTTTGTGATCTCTATTCCTGTTTTCTATAACTCTGCTTGTAGTTTAACAGCAATGTGTGACAGTGCTTTCTCTCTCTGTGATTGATAGGAGGTGGAGCAGTTGCGTCTCGAGCGCTTACAGATTGATGAACAGCTCCGTCAGATTGGGGTGGGATATCGTGCACCCCCCAGCCGCTCTGGTTCAGGGGTCGCCGGCGAGCGTGAACGGGGTTACCTCACGGACGAGAGCACAAACTCCCTGCAGACCACACGCACCTATGGAGGAAGAGGACGTGGACGCAAATCTAACAATACATACTCTGGCTATGGTGAGATACAACTCCCATGATGCTCATATGTTTTGGACAGTCTGTCTGTACATTTAATTATCAGTTTCATGATGTATAACAAGATTTCGGGTACAGGTGGGTTAAAGGATTAGTTCACTTCCATAAAAAAAATTTCCTGATAATTTACTCACCCCC